TTTATTAACTTAATTAAAAAATAAAAATAAAATATCTCTATATTTTTCAATTTATTTTTTTTAATCTGTTGTCTAAACCTAATTTTTAATTTTTAATTTGCCTATAACTTTACTCTTTGAAACTAATATGTAATTCTATTTTTAGAACTTAAATCTTTAATTTATTTCTAAAATGATATTCTAATTCTTGTAATTAAATTTTAAAGAAACATTATTCTAGAAATCTTAAAAGTTTATAATAGAACTAGTTTTAATATTATGTTATTCTTAAATGTTTGGTTGAGAAGTTTTAAATCTTAATTATGAATGCTTCTAATCAATGTTAGTGATATTTATTTTAAATTTTATTCATTTTTAACAGGATTTGGAAGATAAGATTAAGTCATCGATGCATTAAAAAAAATTAGTTTTAACTTTTAATAATTATTTTGTCATGTACTTAAAATTTAGAATAATCATTTATTATTCTTAGTATTTCTAGTGATGTAGTCAAAAAGAATTTTTAAATTTTTTCAATCTTTACAACAGTAAAGAAATATAAGAACTTATTTATAATTTGTGCATTTCTTGATTATGTTTCTACTTATTTAAATATTAATGTGTTTTATAGTTATATTTTCTATTTGATGTTAAAATTTTTTACATTATTTTATATATTTAATAATGTTAAAAACTGATCAATCCAATCAAACCATATCAATCCAATCAAATCATATCAATCTAATTTAAGTTGATTTAGTTTGATTATCATATAATAGTAAATTAAATTAGCTTAAAATTTTATTTGTTAATTAAATTCAATTGGTTTAAAAACTATTAAAATCCAAATTGAACCACATCGCCAAATACTCGTAAATAACACCTTGTCACCTTGATATCGGCTCAAGATCAATAGATGAAAAACTTATAATATTTTTTATAGAGTATATTGTTTTACAATTTAAATTGTAAGACAAAGACTTTTTTATATTAGGAGCCTTTATATTATAAAGAATTAATATTTTACAATTTGAAGAGTTTAAATTATAAAATACTTCTTTGCTCTTTATATATATATAAAGGAAAAAAAAAAAAGACATTCTAACTTTAAAAATATTAGGACTTCTAATCATAATTAAATAATAAATTTAATATAATTAAAAAATATATTATATTTCATATATTTAACGATTGTGATTAGATATATTTCTTTGATTTTTTTTAAAAAAATAATTTTTTCCTTTAAAAAATATTTTTTAATAAAATAATTTTGAAAAAAATTTAACTTAATTAAAAAATATATTATATTTCATATATTTAACGATTGTGATTAGATATATTTCTTTGATTTTTTTTTAAAAAATAATTTTTTCCTTTAAAAAATATTTTTTAATAAAATAATTTTGAAAAAAATTTAACTTTGGTTTCCGTTTTTATTGAGCTGTCTCTGTTGCAGTGATCGGACCAATCAAATGGTTCACGTGCTATTTGTGGGCTGGAAATAGAAGGCGATGGAGCCCGCCACTTTTGAAATGGTCCGACCAATTAATTATTAAGCCCCACGTATGAAATTCGGGAAATTTATTATTATTATTATTATTTTTTTTTATGCTTAGGAAAATTAATTTTTGATTAAATTTAAGTTAATTTAGTCACGCATTAATTAGCCATGTTGCAAAATACAATGACAATATACGAGGTTACACAGTATATATACATATATAAAACCCTTAAATTCAGCATAAAATTTAATTAAAAGATTTGAAAAAAACACACCGTATGCAAGAATTGAACTTGCAATTCTAAGACGTAAAATCTCAAACACTAAATCTTTAATCATTGAACATAAGGCCTTGTATATCGAAGGCACTAGTGTTACTTTCTCATACAATAATTGATCATAAAATACACCGAATCTTTAAGCTTTACTTTTTAAATTTTCTTTTCCTTTCTAGTACTAAGGAGAAAACTTAACGAAATCTTAAAAATCGTACGTCCCAGATTATCTGAAATCTCCCAATCCGTAATTTATCAGTATGTGTCTAACAGTTCCCAAAAAGAAATTAATGACAAGTTCCAGAAAACAAGATTAATTGAACCTTAGTAATAATGAGCAAAGACCTTAGCTTATGAGATGATGATAACAAACGTGTAATAGAAAAACTTTAGATAGAGACATGTGAAGATCATGTCCTAAAATGTTTAAATTTGTAATTTTTAAATATACTTGATATAATATTTTTATTTAATGTCACATTACATTGTATATCATATATATTGTAAGGAAATTAACTTATGTTTATTAATATACTTACAGTTAATTAATTTTTTCTGATATATCGTAAAAAATTAGTTAATTAATTAGTATTATAAGGGTTTAAACTTTTTGATATTAACTTTTATATAAATTAAAGTTTTTAAATTAATGAATATTAACACTTGACTAAACTTTTGTTTATGTATAGTTCATTGATACTATATGGTTAATTAATACTACGTCTCTGTATATATTTATATTTACATATTAATCCATTTTAACATGAGGGATAAAAAGGCGTGTTTTGGAGGGTTTCTCGAAGTTTTAGATCTTTGTCCATACAGGTTTCCATCAATTGCTCGTCCCAACCCCTCTAGCTCTAGAAACCGGCCCACAAATAGATTTCTTGTAACTTTGGTTTTTCTTAAAACTTCCCACTATAACTAACTACTTACACAAGCATTGTCCTTGCTAGAATTAATATTCTAAGAAATTCTCACGGGCTAAGGCACTATTGTCTTCCCTTCCCTATATAAATACACACCCACCTCCCTCTTCTACAAAATATTTCAGATCTGATTCTCTCTTACAAAAAGAACCATCAAAGCTTCTTAATTTTCATCAACATCTCTCTAGCAGCTATAACATATTCTTAATTTCTACTACCTCAAAAAACATTCTTCCTTAGTTTTCTTTTCCTCTCCTCCTTACATATATATAAAAGGAAGAAAGATGGGGCTGCGAGACATTGAAGCTACACTGCCTCCTGGATTTAGGTTCTACCCGAGCGACGAGGAGCTGGTCTGCCATTATCTCTACAAAAAGATTGCTAATGAGGAGTCTTTGAAGGGTACTTTGGTCGAAATTGATCTGCATACGTGTGAGCCATGGCAGCTTCCCGGTATGCTTTTGTCTACCTTCAAATTAATACATAATCTTTCTTTTTTTTTTTTCTTTTTCAACTTTCTTTCTGCAAAAATGTTCAGGCATCTTTTGTTTTCGAGATTTATAGTTATAAGAATGTTTAATTGATAAATAAACACCAGGATATAGAAGACAAATTAATTATTCTTGAGGGGTTTTAGGTAGAAAGCAGACAATCATGGCTGGCATATATATATACATGGTCTTTTTAATAAATACAGAAAACAATTGACGTATGTTTTGGATGAGTGCAGTAGTATGACATATATGTGCACGCATATAGTTTATTATCATCTCATCATACATCTCTTAATTTGGTTGGAATGCCGAACGCCAGCTTCTTCATGATTCTATATATATTTGGTATATATGCTATGATTATGTCAGTCATGTTTGATATGGTTTATAAAATTATTTTTCTTCTTCTTATTTTAATTTGCTTATATATTAATGTTTTTCTATGACACTTGAAGAAGAAACAAGGAAAAAAAAATGTATGATATGATGAACCCATCATATACTTCTAAAAATCATGAAGTTTCTCCCTAAACTCAAACACAAGGTATAAGATTTTCAGCAATTAATTAATCTTCTTTTTCTTCTGGGTTTTGCTGTCAATTAAAGAGAGTAATCAACTCTAAAATACTCTTAATTAGGCTATCTAATTCAGGTTTTAAGAGTTTAAGGGTTGAATTCAAAGATATTTTATATATGCATTTCTAGAAACAACTCTTCCCTGATCTAATGAATATATGTTTCTACTAATTAATACTGATCCACTGCAATAATTGCTTTATCATGTACAGTAGAAGTCTTGATGAGCAAGGAACACAATATTATTATCTGCAAGACTCTATTTTTTCTCGAAATTCACAAAACTCTTTCATACAAGGGTTATATCACTAATGACAACTTGACAAATACGTTTTTAAAACTCATGTTTTTAGATGAAACTGTACAATAAACATATCGTCCCTTCTTGTCTGTCTCCCTGTCTTTGTCTCCACAAATAGCACAACCGCGTTCACCATTATTCACAAGTGTTACTAGCTGTATAAATTGGATGTCTCTCTCTGCCTGTGTCTCCAGAATTACATAACCCGTGTTCATTCACAGGTGTTGCTTACTGTCCAAATTGGAAACATGCACGTAATAATTGCCTGGTAATTTCTATGTTTAATTAAATAATAAGATAAATAAGTATGTACACATGGGAACATAAGAATCGAATCCACTTTTGGTCCCTCATTTTTTTGACTTGTGGTGGCATCCCTCTTTTCAGAACATAATGGGTCATGAAGAAAATTAATAAAGTTTGGTCTCTTAATTATCTTATAGGATAAGTTTTCCCTTTTTCTTTTTCTTTTTTTTTTTAAATACATAAAAAACCTTAATTATGGTAAAGACAAGATTCATACATAACTCAACTGTGATATTTTGTCTTAAAATTTTCACTTTGGTATATTACTAACAGTACTTATTGAAAAAGAATTGCTACCCATCAATTTTAACACACCCATACATGTATATATATATACATATATATATTAATTTCTTTCAAATCCACAAGTCAAATGCATATGATTACTTGTTTGTTTCTTGGGAAAGTCTACTTATTATTGCTCAATTACAATAGTCTTAGGTACATTAAGTTTTCTTAATTAGACAAAACTCTTTGACTAAAATTAATGAACAAACATACATAGCAGCATTAATTATATTCTCTCCACTTCAATTAGTATAAGCATAAAACCAAGTTGATGATGAAAATGATTTAATTTTTCAATCTGTTTTTTGTTTTTTTTCGCAATGATAGAAAAGACTGAGATTTTTAATATTGCAAATTGAACACATATCGATACTAATTATTATTTACTGTCCAATTTAATTTCAGAGGTGGCAAAGCTTAATGAGAACGAATGGTACTTCTTCAACTTTCGAGATAGAAAGTATGCCACGGGGTTCAGGACCAACCGAGCAACGACGTCTGGCTACTGGAAAGCCACAGGGAAGGATCGAACGGTGGTCGACCCAAGAACACAAGAGGTGGTGGGGATGAGAAAGACTTTGGTGTTTTATATGAACCGAGCTCCCAATGGAATCAAAACCGATTGGATCATGCACGAATTTCGCCTGGAGACCCCACATATGCCTCCTAAGGTGCGTTCCCTTAATTAATTATTTTGCTTTTTTGTACATCGTGATCTTTTGCGTGTCTTAATTAGTGTCATGACTATGAGAGAGACACAAAAAAAAATAAAAAAATGAAGTTGACAATTGCAGCCATGTGTGAATATCATGTTTTCTCCAAGGAAAATTGGGGAAAAAATGGTCATGCAAGCTTCCCTCATACTCCATCTCTATCCCTTATGTTTCCATTTTATATTATAGTCAAGACTATTGGCATTCGAGTATATAAACTTTTAGGGAACAACAACTCTTTGGATGTAACTTCATTTGAATGTTTGAATTCTTTAATTGTTATCACATAATGGATGAATTTATATATGTTAGTTACAATTATATTATTTTTTTAATATGAGATTAACTTATACCATTAAAAGATTAAATATTTATAATTTCTCTAAATAGTTTTTTATTTGTTAAATGTATATATTTTATCAACAAAGGGATAGGTTTTTTTAATTTTTATTGGTGAATGAAATTTAATTAAGGTTTTGTTTGGCTGCAGGAGGACTGGGTTTTGTGTAGAGTTTTTCACAAGAGCAAAGGAGAGAACAGTTCCAAACTCAGCCCTTCTTCCATGATGTTTGAGACCACGCCAAATATTGCTCCATCTCCAAATAATCTGTCTACATCTAACCAAACAGTGCCTTGTGGGTATCAGCACATCATAGCCTCTTCAAACCCTCCACATAGCCAAAGTCTTCTAAGCCTCTTCCAATATGCTCAGGAGAAGAGTAACAACAACAATGACAACAAAATCAACAATCTCACCAGTGAAGTTAGCTCGAAAGAAGACGAGTTTGGGTTCTTGTGGGGAATGAACTTGGATGAACGGAGCATGGATAATGAGGCTGTTTCGAACTGGGAAGATATATATGAGAGTTGACATTGATAACAGCATGGTTATTCTATGAAAGAAATTATATATATGCACTTGTTTACATTAGGAGTGAAATAGAAAAGAGGGAAAAACATATTTAACATTAGTTGATTTGTGATATGTATAATGTGCATAAATATGTGGCTTTTGGGTTTCAAGAAAACAGGTCATGTGTTCATTATTGGGTGGAAAATCATGTTGTGCCAGCTAGTGTTTGTTAGGGATTATGTATTTTTTGTATACGTACTACGTTGCCCATTTGTACAATTTATATATAAAGCATGTTTTTTATTGGTCTAAAGCCAAAAGAAAAGTTCCACAACTTTGCAAAACTATTCATTATAGTCTCCCGACTACTTAAACAAACATAATCATGATAATTCTTGAACTTTGAAAAATAAAGTAACCATAATTCCTTCATCAACATGACAACATCCATTAACAATCATGCTGATGACGTGTAATTGATGGCATTAGAACTGTTGATGTTTACCATTATTGCTTTAGGGAAACTAGTATGATGGCGAGGAACGCAAAGTTGGATTCTACTATTTATGCGATCTATATAGACAAGAAGAGAGTGGGGAGGTGAGGGGAGGAGAAAGTAGAAGGGAAGATGCAAGGAAATGAAGATAATTTATAATTTTAGTACTCCCT